CGACTAATCTTTATGGTGCTTTCGGAACAGAGAAAAGAACAAACCTCTCCCAAGACAGAGTAAAAGGATTCGAAAAGAGGACAAACTTCCCTCAAAACAGAGTAAAAGGATCCGTAGAATCAGTCTCTCCGCAGCAAGAGAATAAAATCATTTGGCAGAGGAAGAATAAAAGAGGAAAGAAGGCCGGAGGAAAAAAGGAAAACTTGACTAAGATGTAGACATACTCACCCTGGTAAGAGGCAGATTGTGTTTCTTGGGAACCAAATTCTTCACGCCTTCCATTACAAATCGTGAACTGTGACTGAGCAGCTTGTTGAACATACTGATGGTCTTTGTACCAGCACCCTGATGCTCCTCTGGTGCCGTTCTTCCCAATTGAGATATTGACCTATGATAAAACAATTTTCGCTTCATTTTCAGTAAGCAGCAGGAAAATCTTGCTATCAACAGTACAACTACACGAAAAAAGGAACAAATAGGCGTGTGCTGACCTCATCTTCTGGACAAAGCGCAAAGCTGATTCGTCCACAGCTCTCTCACGAAGGAAATTCATTTGCTCCTCTAGCTCAGCCTGAACATTAAAATCCCTACATTTCAACGAGGATATTGGTAAAAATGTGCAGAAACAGATTAATCAAGCTTGAGCGAACTTGATAAGGAAGAATCAGCGGAGAAAACCTGCCAAAAATGAATCGGTTTCTCGCTATATGGACTTTCCTTCATGAATTTCAAACACAACGGGTTGCTGAGTGTACTCAAAGATGAGAACTCAGGCCAAAACAAATTGAAATTTAAGCTAGTCACAACCTTTTAGCATTGCACTAGAACAGGAAGTAGGATAGAAGAGGGATAAAAATGACTAAAATAAGAATAAGTGACATAACTACCTTGCTAATGTTTTCTTGACATAAATAGTTGATCAAGATCACTCTCAGAATATCTTCAGGATTCGTGATATTCGATAACAATTGAAGAAGAGGGATTTCTGAATGGTATCAGATTTGAGCCAGTAAAGGGAAACGACAATCATCTTCAAAACCTTACCAAGAGGAGAATGTTGCAAAAGCTTCTGTTCCAGCTCGAAAAGAACATCTAGCTTTCGCTGTTTTATGTGATCCAGTAGAGTAGTGGCGACGTTTGTGTGGAGATCTATTAACCTCTTAGCTTCCAAAAGCTGAGGGAGCGATGTAACTGTGGATCCTAGTTTTGCCGTAGTATCCGACAGAAGGGATGTCATCGCTGCATCTGCATCGGTACCGTCCATACCCTGAAACTACCGAATGACCAGCGCCTCAAACTACTTGCTAGAAAAGATATACCATCAAAGATCACTGCCATTCAAATGGGATCTCGCAAAAGGTTATATGAGGGAGTTATCATTTTCGAAGAAAAACAGTTCGGGTAATAGAAAAACGCAGGCAAACCCGAAATTTGAAAACTCAGCTGTGAAGAAGATCAAATTAACACATATTAAGAAACTGCTCTCATAGAAGCAGAAAAGAGGAAAAAAAGCGTTAAAGAAAGATTTTTCTGAAGAGATTGAACTGATGTTCTTCTAGTTTTGGTGAATGCATCAGTAATCAAAGGCAGTGTGCCAAACTCCTCCTGGAGAGAGGATATTTCCGTGAACCTCCGCTTTCTGTCACTAGGCATTGTTCACAGTCTGCGACCCAGCGTTTCTCTGGGGAGAACGCCTCGGCGAAAACCTTTCGATACGCATCGATTGGCGTTTGGGCGAAAAGTCTGGCGGTTGCGCGAACGGTTTTGATACGTATCGACGGACGGTTCGGCGGAGGGGTTGGGCGAAAAACGCTAGCCCCACCGCCCTGGAATTTTTTTCTAGGGTGAAACAAGC